CAAGTAGCTGGGATTACAGGTGCGCACCACCACGCCCATCTAATTTTTTGTATTTTTAGTAGAGATGGGATTTTGCCATGTCGGCCAGGCTAGTCTTGAACTCCTGACCTCAAGTGATCCACCGATCTGCCTGCCTTGGCCCCTCAAAGTGCTGGGATTACAGGCGTGAGCCACTGCACCTGGCCTTTTTTTTTTTTTCTTTGTTTTAAAGCAGGATTTCACTCTGTTGCCTAAGCTGGAGTGCAATGGCGTAATCTCAGTTCACTGCAACCTCTGCCTCCCGGGCTCAAGCAATCCTCCCACTTTAGACTCCCAAGTAGCTGGGATCATAGGTGCGGGCCATCGGACCCGGCTAATTTTAAAATTTTTTGTACAGGCTGGGCAAGGTGGGTCACGCTTGTATCCTACCTCTTTGCGGGGCCTAGGCAGGCAGATCACTTCAGGTCAGGAGTTTGAGACCAGTGTGGCCAACATGTACTAGAAAGCACGAAAATTAGCTGGGCATGGTGGTAGGTGCCTGTAGTCCCAGCTACTTCGGAGGCTGAGGCAGGAGAATCCCTTGAGCCAGGGAGGAAGAGGTTGCAGTGAGTTGAGATCGTGCCACTACACTCCAGCCTGGACAACAGAGTGAAGGGATTCTGTCTTCAAAAAAAATAATAATAATAAATAGGCCAGACACAATGGCTCACGCCTGTAATCCCAACACTTTGGGAGCCCTAGGCAGGAGGATCACCTGAGGTCGGGAGTGTAAGACCAGCCTGACCAACGTGGAGAAACCCCGTCTCTACTAAAAATACAACAGTAGCCAGGCGTGGTATCGGGCGCCTGTAATCCCAGCTACTCAGGAGGCTGAGGCAGGAGCATTGCTTGAGCCTGAGAGGCGGAGGTTGCAGTGAGCCGAGATCGCACCATTGCACTCCAGCCTGGGTAATGAGAGCCAGACTCTGTATCAAAAAATAAAATAAATCAAAATAAGTAAATAGATTTCTTGTAGAGACAGGGGCCTAACTATGTTGACCAGGCTTGTCTTGAACTCCTGGCCTCCAGCGAGCCTCCCACCTTGGTCTCCCAAAGTGTTGGGATTATAGGCACCACGCCAGGCTCCTTGTATTAAATATAATAAAAGCAAGGAGACAACAAAACAAATCCAGGTGCTCCGCTGGCCCCAGAAGCCCCCTCTCTAACTCCACCATTTTGCCTGCCCTCCAAGCCCGCCTATGCCCCACCCTGGGGTGTTTGATGCTATTTTCATCCACAGACTTTTACAAATGAATCTTT